TGGTGGTTTGACGAGGTAAATACTTTTCAAGATTATATTTAACCAGTGATTTCTGTAACATAGAACGGTGTGATAGATTTCAAAGGAGAAATCTGAATAGCAATAAACAATAAATAAAGGGTCCTTATGTAAACTTTTACTAGCAAAAATAGCTTTTACAGACAATGAGAAGTATGAAATGATATTTCTTAGTTGGAAAGAAAATTTTTCAGGTGGAAAACCTGGGCGACGAACTGGTAAAGTTTTGTACTAATTTTACATCAAAAAATAAGTATTTTTAAAATTATAAATGCGTGATAGAATTCAAGTAGGAAGAAACTGATTAAGGCAATGTCCGGAAGCAGTACGAAATCTGCAAAACTTCTACATTAATTCATTCCGTTAGTCCTTACATGAAAAATCTTGACTTAAAGTGAACGCAATGAACATATCAAAGCGGTAGTGCTTGATATGAACTTGAAAAATGAGAGAATAAACTAAACTTCAAAAAAAAAAAATTTTTTTTGAAAGAAGAAAACTAAATATCGAGGTGAAATTTGCAAATGCTCAAATGTTGAATTCTCCCATTCATGTATTTTGTGTGGAGACTAAAGTAATTTTGGTAAAAATTCAAAAATGGAAATGGTCAGAGGCTAAAATTTAATTTCTACCATCGTGATACCTGCAGCAACTGAAAAATAAAATTCAAATTTACAACTTCATTACAAATACACTTTCAATCAGTTAAGCTTATTACTCAATGTAGTTTCTATCTAAATGATTAGTTTTAGAATTTATTCGGTATCTATGACTATGATTATTGAAATAGACCTCACTTGATAACATAAATAAAAAAAGTAAAGCTAGGCTATCATTACTCAATTTTTTTGTCATACCATTACTCACAGCTAAGGACATTTGGCACACGAAGCAAAGGTAACTTAAAACTTTCATCAACAAAAAGTAACAAGACGGTTGATCGATGAAAGAGTTACTTATTGACTAACAAAGTGTGCAAGGAGATCGAAGGTCTGTTCTTAGGTAATTGGTTTTGTGCATAGATTTGCACGGATAATTAATAAAAATAAATGGATTGCAACAAAGAATAACTCATCCATCCATCTGCTTGCAATATGATTCACAATAATTCATTAAACCTGCAGGGAATCGATAAAATACAAAGAGATAGTGAAGGATCAGTCAAGAAGAGTGACCTATCAGAAGGTAAATCCTTACTTATTTTTGATTTTAATCTGTTGATAATTTCCTTTTTAATTCTTGTCTAAATTATTTTAGCTCACTAAAATTCATATCTGGAACTTCATTTTTTTTCGCACTATACGAGATACAAAGAAGATGAAAAAAAAAGATAAAAAAACTGTTCTTCTAACTAGATTTTTATTTCAACTTACTAGCCAATATTTTCAATAAGAAATGAAACTTCATTGGTAAGTGCAGAAGGAATATCATACAAGGGAAATGATAGGCAATTATCAAAAGCATAAACATCTGTAATAAATAATATTTCCTCAGGTTTGAATATGTACAAGTGTACAAACACACACACATGTATATATTCATTTTGCTGTAGTCATAGACAGCTAGAGAGGATATACTTTAGATGACTTTTGTTAGTGTCGTGGTCATTCTATTTATGGCCGTCGTCTGCTGTGACTTAACAACATAAAAAAAAAGAAATGGATTTAGTTGAAGGATGTATAAAAACTGCAGTGATTAAAGCTATCAGGTAATTAATTAGCTTCTGAGAGTGGACATTTTTGAGATTTTAATTGTAGCAATTGATTTTTGGTATGTTTTGAAACATGAAAATTAACACGAAATTTTATTAGTTTTAATGTAGTTATTGTTGGGATTGGTCCCATTTTTTAAAGAGATTGACGTCGTTACTGGTACATAATTTGTTTCATACAAACTCTTCATTTAGACTCCTTACAGTTTTACTGACAATAATTGTGAGAAGAATAAAATTGGGAAGGATTTTTATTTCAATTAATACTTATTATGTTTCTTTTCTTTCCGTTTCGGGCCGCAGACATGGAACGATTAACTTTAAGCTCATTTCACACTTATAATTTTAATTTCAATTATGGTTGTATAATTCACCAAAGTATTCAAACCCATTTTTTTTCTCACGAATATTAGGGGCAATAAAAATTTCAGTGCTATATTTAACCATAAAGGCTTTTCTATTATTCAGCCATCCGTACTTGAATTTTTATATCACGAAGGAACTGGACAATTGTAATAGTATATTCTACTCAGTGATTTATGCAAAAATCATTCACATACATAAATGAAAATAACTGAATTTTCTCTACTAATTTTAATTTCGCTGTCAATTACTTATTTAGTTTCAGTCTTTATTTTTTATCAATTATCACATCACTTCCTAAAGTAGCAGCACATCAAGAATTTTTTACTTCAAAGCATTGATATGTTTGAAACACTTTCGACTTTTGGAATTTTCGTTTGAAATTTTAGCACTTCTGATAATAAAATACTTCTGAGAAATCTCGTCGCTTTTGTAACTAAGAATGATTTTATTCAAATGTACAGAATTTATAGCAATTTAATACTTATATCATGCAAGACATGCATGAGTGCAGTTTTTCATGAATTCAATTTTGCTGTCGTTTTTCAGCATAAGTGAACGATCGACCAGAAAGCTAAAACTTCATGGAAAAGTTATACATACCATACGAATTTTAATTATTTTTACGAATTATAGATATACACAAAAATCAAAAAAGTTTTTGTTTTTGATTTCATTCTTCATGTTAGCGGCTAATTATATACACTAATATCTTCTAACGATCGCAATCAATTGAAAACTTTTGTTTTTGTTTTTTTGTTTTTTTTCCAGCACTGACAATATCATTTCTCTCAACAAAATATGAGAGACTATCACGAACCACAACAGTAACGTTTTCAGTAGCTGCAGTTAATAATTTAATTAATGACTTACAAACGTTTTATACAATCTCATGAAGCCCAGTAATGTCGTGAAAGTTAAGATGTCTGACTCTTGTGATTAGAGTCGAAATCTTATATAGTAGAGTCAAATTGGACTTTCGTATACTCAAGAGCCTTTTGTTTACTACTGTAGTTGGTATAAATGAATGCATCGAGCGAAGGTTCTACTGTAACAACTTTATTCCACAATACATAGATATTAATCTACAGCAACAATACACTGGGACAAGATGAAGATGGGGAGCTTAAAGGATTCAAATGCACTGAATTAAATGAGTGCAGAAAAGCAGCCGAACAGTTACTTGCTGGTACAAAAAACTGACCAAGACAAAAGGTTTAAATCCTTATATAGTGAATATTGAATTGTAAAAGCGCATCAATACATTGAATAAATAGTTGTCAGATGATCTTTACTCTTTATGTAGTACAAGATGGGTTTTAATATTATTAGTTTCTCATAGTAATGATTATTAGATTAGAAAACCTTTACGATATTGCAAGCAAATTTTGTTTGAAACAAAGGAAACAAGGTAACAATACACACATCCTTTGTTAACAGTTGAAAATTGCTAGACAAGCAGACAAGCTCAGCTACAATGGGAAAATGAGTGTTGGGGATGATTGCTTACATGATGCATCCTGAAACAGTTTTATAGTTCTTTAACGAATGTTTAATTAAGACAAATTTCAGTAATATGGATTAATACAATTTTATTTGATATTGTAAGTATGCCAAAATTTAAGTATTGCAAATGAATGCCCACTATGTAAAGGATTTAAATCCTTAAGTTCCCATCAATTTATTCATTTCCTTCATCTTATTCGTACATACTCTACGAAATTATCAGTGTATTCTTGTTATAGATTATACTTACATATACTTACAAAGCATATAAATAAATTTGAAGGTTCGCAAAACTTGTTTCGAGTTTCGCGGCAAGCAGTTCGTTATATAAGTCTTCAACAAAAAGATTTCACTATTTTATTAATGAACCTCCTTCAACCGCGTCATTTCCAAGCTGTAAAATGTGAAAAAAATTTTTTTTTTGGTCAATATAATTTCATCATGTTTTCAAGAAATATTAGTTATTACATTCAAGAAACAAAGCAATGTTTTGTACCTAATGTATACATAATTAAATTTTATTTTACAAAATAAGTCCGCAATATATGAAGTATACCATTACATAAATGATTTATTGAAAACTGTCTCGCTTTTGATGAGATCAAGATGATTTGCTAAAGAACATGTATTGTACAGTATTAGAAAGTACTGGAAACAATTATAAAAATGCTAATGTTGTGTCACAACAAAATCATCCTCAAATTTCCCCAAGAATGCTAAATGTGTTCACAACTGTTATTGATAACTTGAATCAACAGGAAGCAAAATTTTATAAAGGTAGACAAAGAATGGTGATCGCTACAGTGATGTCGGTGCTTTTTGCTAAATATGTATTTGGCATAAACCGTTCAAAGAAGGTGTTTGGAGTGGAGAAATATAGATTGTAGAAAGATAGAATAATGAATAAAGAGTGAAATCTGATTGCGTTTTCGCTAATAATCCGTTCTGGGAATGAAATTCTTCCACGAGTCTTGAGAACTGTTGCATATATAAAAGTCGCATACGCATACATACACACACACACACACACTATTATGAGAAAAGAATCAGCATTTAATTCTCTGATTTATAAAACCTAAAAAAAAAAAAAAAACGCCATTCCTCAACTTTTTTACTACAAAAAAAAACTATCTAAGAGAACAACGTAGAAGTCTTAACCACTGGCAGAGCTTCCCGGTTTAGTACGAGAAATCTCTGCAACTCATGTAGTCTTCAGCCCTTGTAAAATCTTTTTTTTTACTAGACAATATTTAAAATATATATATATATATATATATATAACAAACAAGACTCCTACTTAAATATAAATCATCACTGACAGGAATTGAAAGAAATTTCTTCTCTAGACTACTCTAGTTATAACGCTCTCCAGATCACAAATATCAGAAAAGAACGTATCATTTCACACATTTAAATTGTAAAGCTTCATGAAAATTCGATGCCTACAATCTGCACCTCTTTCGGACAACTCAGCATGATGGAATTTTGGCCACCATGATTTTCGAGGATCCCACTGCAAGAGCAATAGACCATCATCTTGCACAAGCTGTACCACTGCCCACAGAAACATCCAAGCACAATCATTCCTCCTGAATACTCATGAAGTTTCCCGCGTTGTATAATATTAGGAAAACCAAAAATTTAGAGCCTTATTTGCAATAAAATGTTAACGAAGCTAACAGGGACTTGTCAATAATAGACTTTGTAATTTAGTGATGAATTTAAATAAATTTCGCATGTCAATATAAGTGAATTTTTAAAAAAATAAAACTAATAGATCTGGTTTGATCAAAGAATGGTGTTGCTGAATCCTGTAAACAGCATAAATTACGCTAATTAATCACATAAGTTTCACAAACCTATTCGTTCCATAATCCAAAAAAACGAACAAAGTTTTGCAAACAAGGCGCAACATTTCTCCTGAGAGGTCATAATCGTGAGGATTCAGAAGTCGCGGTTTTAACCAATCTAATAAAATCGGATGCGAAATAAGGGTCCATTGCGGCAAAATCTGAAAAAAACATCATTCGATAGCTGCTTCACTTATGTTTAACTACTAATAAATAGCAGTTCGTTTTTCGAATTATATAAAAACATATGAACCCAGCTGGAATGAAATATCGTTTTAATGGATATGGCATCAAAACAATACAACTATATTAAAGACAGGAAAAAACAAAACTTACAACATCAAGCAACCAATTAGCTTCATCAGCCATATTATTTAATAGCAAAGCGCGGTAGCAATCAACAATCATGAAGGGCGTTTTATGACAACATTCCTCCAAAGCATTCATTAATATATCAATTTTTCCAACAAAATGCAAATAATGCACTGCTGTATGAATGAAAATACTCGCCTGACCAGATTCCACATCCTAAAATGATAAGCAACTCCAAAAACTATAAATAATCCTAGCTATAAAGAAAAGACGAAAATTTTGTGCAACTCTCCACCTTATACAACAAATTACTAAGTGTTGACAAAAACAAGTGGACAAAGTTTAGACATATATCATACAGAATAATGCAACCGTTGCAATATTAACACTCTCTTAATTCTATAGTCCTTCTAAAACAAAAAATAGTGACAATCAGTCATATCCTAACCAAAAACCTAATCATTATGTTTACTGATCTGAAGGAAACTATCCGGAGGGTTAAGAGTGCAATACACACTAGTACGCAAATAAAATAAAGCTTAGCATAAGTTACGTTTAAATTCGGATTATGTTTGTTTCTTTTTTTTAAGTAAAGTGAAGTCATTTTAATATAATTAATAACTTTTATAGTGCTACGTAACCATGCACAGAAAATTTCAGTATAAAATTATTACTTCTGAATCAGCTATTAATTTAATTATAATACCCACGCATTTTACGAACTCAATTACTGTAGCACTAATTTATTGATCTAAAGTGAAAACATTTCAAAATGAAATTCATAAGTTTTACCAGTAGAGCTGCAATGATTTCATCCCCCAGATCAAATGAACTGCTCTGCACTACATCTTCTCCTCCCAAACGCCAACGTTCATAACGAGACAATACTTTGTAAGATCGAAGGATAGTAACATACTGAAATTGGACTGATCACTGTAAATGAGACTACCGAAAGAAAAAAGTTATATAATAAAAACCCATAATATGGTTAGTCTACAATTTTTTTTTTTAATATGCTGATAAACTAGTCTGCTATTTCACCAAATTCTCACAGATGAAAACTTTAACACTTTAAAAATATAAGCGACTGAAACCTTGTGTTTTTGAGCGACAGATGGCAAGGATGAAACTGTAGTGACCAAATCTTGCATTTCCTGTTTCTGACCATTTGCTATCGCATATATAAGCAGCTCCGTGATATAAAGCAATGAATTATTCTCAACGTCAAATGTTAAATTCTAAAATCGTCAATTACTTAACACGATTGCTTTACTGCCTAAAATTAAATAATGCAATGAACTGAATGTGTGCTAAACTCCTTTTCTCACTCGCTTTATTTTCTCTGGCTACGAAAAGAATATTACAGCAAAACAGACATAATACGAGGTAACCGTGATATTATAAAAAAGCTTGCACAGTATTTTCGTTCAGCAGCAATCAAGACAAGCATTAATTCTGCTGCCGATTTAGTTATCATATCACGTGGGATATCGTACTGCATAAAGCGTTCAACACCAGCTCGAAATATTGTTGAAGCATATGGAAATAACATCCGACATGTTTTATCCAAATTACCACCAAGTTGTTTACGGAACGCTTCAGGAACGTCTCGCAAGTTTTGTCGAAAAGAAGGCAAGAGACCTGAAAAGTTAGGTTTAAAAAGTCTCAATACTGGAAATCATAATCTCAAGACCGTAATGAAAAACTACCATAAGATCCAGTTAAATCATTTCACAGCTTACTTTGAACAGCGTTATAATACTACTAGCAATGAAAAATAAAAATTCGAACACAGTAATGAAAGAGTTTCATTCATTAAAAAAATTTCAAAGCTAGCGCTCTCTCAAAGAAAAAGACATTACTAGCAGTGAAACGAAAAAACAAATGTTTTTTTTTTTTTTTTTTATTTTTCAAAATAACATTTAATTTCAAGATATAAGAACTTTGAAAAGTAAAACTTTAAAAACTGTCGACATTTGGACGATTAATATAATTACCTAAAAACACGCCAACTTTCGACCAGTCTTGATTTAATACTGCTTCTCGAATTAATATAATTCGCTGCTTGAAATCATGCTGACGTACTTCGCGATAAATACCATCTTTTTCTCTGCAAGAACGAGAATTTAATGAAGAGAAAAGACATAAAATGAATAAGATGGAATAATTGAACTACATCTCCGTTTGTTTTTATAACCAGTTATTGATAGTCAAATACCTTAAACTAAAGTAAGAACAAAAAGCACATTGTCTTGTCATCTTAATTCAACCTAGTAGAAATTATTTCACTCACTGATTCATCCTTTACTCCTCTTAAACAATCATCAGTACCCAAATTTCTGTAGAATATCGTTTTTAAGCAAATGTCGACACTTCAGCTTATAAACTGATATTAAAACTGTCTAGTTTATATCGTTGTACTTTTTAATCATGAATCTTCTGCTAAATGTTCTACTCTTATACACCAAATTTAACGTAACTGAACATTGCGTCAGAACATAGAAAACAGAGCGCAACGAAACTACATTTCATATTTCAGTTCTCAACAATGAGTAATTCGATGAATGAAATACTGAATCAACCGAAAAAAAGGAGTCATAAATTCTTCCAACCATTTCGAATAATCGAGAGAACATTCCAAATCATCTATTTCTACGAACCTAAAAACGGATACATTTTTGTAAACTTCTATTGAGATACTCATTGCAAAAGTGTAGTCAGCTGATTTTCAAACCCGTTGACACTTACGATTGTTATACTTGATATGAATCAAAGGAAAACATAAACGAAGCTGCAAATAAATTAATGAAGAAATCTAATCGACACTGCTGATTTTTTTAAATGATTCAGTGGGCTTCCTTTTTTTCTAAAATCATTACGGCGATTTGAGGTATTACTATAAAAACATAAGATTGCTTAACATGAAAAGCTGCATCTATAACTTATAACTGAAGAAATCGTAAGTTATAATCTTCAAGCCATTCCCTTCTCTCTGCTATATCAACAACTTATAAATGCTTTAAAAAAATATTCAGCTTTGCCCATTAATATATAACACTATACCCTCAGCTTTTACGAAACATTCAAAAAAATGCTATATAGCACTTCAATACACCAATGCCCCTTAGTTCGCTCGCTAAAAGATATTTCATATCGGATTTCATACGTTTTTTTCTTATTTTTTTAATAAAAGACAAATAAGTACAGTTCCAATTCTTTTTCCAGAACCTCGTCTACTGAAAGAAATTTGGAATAGTGATGTCATTTCTTTAATTGGAAATTCTGAAAACAATGACGTATAAATCTACTAAATTCTCACATGTTTAGAAAATTGAGGTTACGTGGTAGCCCATACAACCCTTTGTTACGTATTACAACTTCTAGCTTTCTACACATCCAACGAGCAGCACTTTCTTTGAAACGTTGAAAACATGCATCCTTGAAACCATATTTGATTGCAATGGCAAACAAATCATTAACGATCTAAAAAGCGCCTTAAATTCAAGTTGTACTAATTGAATATTCAGCACTAATCTTTATCAATTACTTATTAGTTTCGCAATGATTTCTTTGACAAAATATTTTCTGTGAACAACAAAATAAAAACAAATTTTCAACACGAAAAAACAAAGCATCTCAAAACAAACCAATACACCGATTTCTTGCTGTTCAAGCCGTTTCATAAACAGTAAACAATATTTATTGAACAACTCCAACCTTTTTTTTTCTGCAAATTTAATACGAAATTATAAACAGGATTAAAAACTCTTTGACGATTAAAATGGGACTTGTTGGTGATAGAAAGACAGATCATAAGCATAAGTTACCGCATCTTCATTTCAAACACTTGTTACATTCATGAACCATCCGTATCTTATTCCGCAGTACAGTGATGAACTACCGAGAGCTTCGCTGTCAATCTCTTAATAATCACTATTTCAAATAAGAGAAAATATATAAATACAACTTGAAAACAAATTACCTTCTTCCCGATTCCCAGAATGAACCACATGTGAAGTGCTGCACATTCCCTGGTATTCACAAGAACTACAAACTACTAAACTGCCACTTCACGAAAAACCACTGCACAAAAGTTTTCTAGATTTGATAACCTCGCCCGCTAACTTTAAAAATATGATTTTTGCGACGATAATCTGTCGTAATAAATGAATAATCAGAACTAGTACAGACCGTGAAATTCAAAATTCCAAATTTCTAACGTTACTAACATCATATTGAATCGATACAGCTGACATAAAATTCCATGTCATAATAAGTACTTTATAATAAACGAGAACTACTATGAAATGTTGCCAAAGCATTTTACAAGAAATTTATACGACACATGTAAGCAACAAAACTGACACTATTAATCAATGAACAAGGGGATTTTAAGCTTCAATTTCCTTATAATTTTAAGGGCCAAAACCAAGAAAACAGGATAACATTACATTGATAAGTTTTTTTCTTCATAAATCAGAGGCAGAAAAACATACTTCTCAGAGCAATTCTGCAGCAGAAAGAAATACAAACCAACAACATTCAAAACTACAAATAAAATGTAGAATATTAATGAAAACCAGAAAATGATGCACAAAGAAGTTTTAAATTGCTGAAATAAAAAATATAAAAAGGAAAGCTTTTTTAACAACAGGTGCCATTAAATAAGAATTGAAAGAATAAATCATTAGCAAAATTCGCCAGAAATTCTAGTCAAAACACATGAATCAAACGCCCTTCTTATCTTTTATTCATAATCAGTAATCTATGCCCAAAAATATCTCATTATATAGATTACATAGAAATAAACATAATTAACTGGTCAAGATACTGGTCCATTTTTCGAGTAAATGCTTCTTCCATATCTTTAATTGCTTCAGCAAGGGCTAACCAAAGACGATCTTCCAAACCTGGATCTTTTTCGATTAACATTTTCGTAACGAAACCAAACGTTTCACGATCTGCTTTAAATGCCTGCAAGTGTCAAGCCACCTATACTATAAGTTATTTAAAAAAATTTTTTTTTTGCATAAAAAGAACAATAATCTATCTCATCCAACCTCGATTTTAAAAGTTTCACATATCAGAAGACAGAAACAGCATTGAAAAAAAGTAACCCCTTCAAGTTGTTTTTTCTTTGTCGTATACTTAGTAAGCACTTCCGGTGGTAAACGAGCAAGCTTCCGTTCACGTTCTGTTTCTGCATTCAACTGACGAGTTAGCGAGCTCAATCGCAGCGCTTAAAATAAAAAATGTTTTGCAAATTATAACTGAAGCTTCACCCGCATGCGTAAACAAGTATCAAATAAGCAGTTCATACCTTGTATCACTTTCATAGAGTACAGAAATCTAAATTTGGGTGTAAAGAAGGCCAAACAAAAATACTGGAGCATTTTAAAATTACACATTTATAAAAAGGTAAAAAGACTAAGGATACTGTAAGTTTTTAACATGATAAATTAGATGATAATGACTATATAGAATGACAGTTTAAGTTCAAAAATGGCACTAAGATAATGCTACACTTTACTGCGCACTTTTCAAAGACGACGATAGTCAATAATGAAAGTGAAGTATTGCGAAATTAATTTTGATAACTCCGCAAATCAGATGGACGTAACTGAAAATACGTCATCCTAACAAGATTAATAATTAAATATGAACACAATATATAATGAGGAGAAAGGAGAGGTACATATCTCAAAAGGCTAGCACAATACCATTTTCAAACTGCCAAGTCTGGCAATAATTTCAAGTAATAAAAGTTTTCTTCTAATATAAAAGAACAAACCAGAAAGAAAATCGTAGAAACCCTTAGATTTCTAAATAATCTCAGCAAAGTCATCTCGAAGTTACTATATATTGGAAATATCGTGAGTTTATCCGAAATAAATCACATAAGGACTCACTTCCTTGAGAAGGCTGCAACGTATCACTGGCATCGTCAAAAAATGAAATCAACTGTTGTCCACGAGCTGCGCCGAAAACACTCGTCTGGAAAAATACATATAAAACACTCCAATTATAGAGCTACCCACGCTTCCAATACGATTTTTTAGAAAGCAGTACAAAAAGTTTCAATAGAATTTCATTTCAGAAGATAAGACATCGTTTAAAGACATCAACAGCACCATAATCATAAACATAAAATCTCACGGGAAGTCAAGTGTTCTAATTATATAACTTTTAAATTAAAGCCTTTCATATGCACAGCGGTCCATTGTCATACCACTTTCACTTTAAACTCAATTTTTCCTTGCTGCATTTGGACCCAACAACAAAAACAACATCGAAAAGCGAAAATCCCTCTCAATTCAGAGCTGATTTATGCTACTGACATATCATAACTAAACTATTCATCATTTGCGCTCAGAGATTTTCTATAATTGATTTTCTATATATTGCAAAGAATATAAAAAAATTTAGGTAACAAGGGAACATTTTACACCTCGCTGTATGCCTTAGAATGTTGAGGTGACCTAGAGAAACGAGTAGAAATAAAACTGTATTCCAATATGTACCCCAGCAGCTGGGTTATATTTCATTACAGAATAAACAGACTTGCACCAATTAATGTGATTCCTCAGTCTCTATAAATTTTCGTTCATTTTTTGTATAGAAAAATGCCTTGTTTAGGACATCAGTGCATAAGTTATCCTTTCGAAGACAGATCATTTGACATCCAATCATACATTGTGATTCCAAACACAATTCATTTGGTTTTTGAGTGCCTTTCAATGGCTTACAATGATGACAGCACTGATGGCACAGAGTCTAGTCCAATTCACTCTTTGGGTGAAAGTCGAATTACTTGATATTGGTGGTGAAGAAGACGCTGGGTGATTAATATATGTGATAATGAAATTGAGACAAAAATGAGATAAATTTATCTCATCTCATTATTGACCATTTTGATGAGAACAGAAAGCAAAACATTGCAAAACGTTAACTAATCCAAATTCATTTTTGGTTCGTGTTATCCTTTTGTTAGCAAATGTAATCCTATGAAAATAATTATTGTTCATGACATTAATAGATTTAAATGAACCTGTGTGTTTTTGAGATCATTTATTGGACCGGTTTGTTCACGTTTCCCCAAAAAGGTATCAATATCACTGCTAAATAGCACACCCGATGATGGTGCTTCGCTTTTTGGCAAATCCAGTTGTTTCCCTATAAAAAAGATCCTCCAATATTCCTACGACAAATTCAATTAGGGCTTTAAATCTGCCAGCAAAAATTTTCCGAAAAAGATACATTAAAGTTGAATGCATAATATATATAACAGGTACAAGAGTTTACCTAATTCTTTTGCTCCTTTCTTGCAGGAAAATGAATTTTCAATTCCCACTTGGGGCATTGTAGCATGCTGAAATATGTGACGCCAAATCAAAGTACTGAGTTAGAATATTCCTGACACTTAATAAAGCATTCAAAAATCATTTTCAGTTGCAAAAATCTAAACAGTTGCACTATTCAAAACACAAAAATATGCACTTCACAAGTTATAGTTAGAACTCATCAATATATATACCAAGATATATCAACGCATATTTGAAAAAAAAAATAAGTTGAAGGACATTTCACAGAAAAAATAAGAAAGATAATTCACCATTCCAATCCCATCAAGCATGCTTGCATTTGTTTGCGAAATTACATTTTTTGACGACTGAAACTGATGGGCTGTATCACGCAAAACTCGTTTTGGCACATCCTCCTAAAAAGTAGAAAACACAGAAAAAGCTGCGCACAGAAAAATCAGGAAAACTAAAAAATGAACTTCAGAATTATTTACATGTTTTCAGTAATACAAAATGATAGAAACAGAAACTGCCAGCTTGAAAGAAACATTAAGCATAAACTACAGTTAGATGTTTTTAAGGCGAATTAATGTGCAACATTTACCATGCTTTCTAAACCGAACTTTAATGTGGTGTTCTGTAGCAGTGTTGTTTCCGCTTCCTGTTCTTCCCATTTTCCCAAAGTTGGTTTTACTATGGGCTTCAAACCTTAATAGGTAATTTTACAATGATGCTAAAGAAATCCGTAAAACGTTGAATTTATCAAGTCTATACTATTATCATTTGAAATTCTCTGTTGTTGGATTCTAACTTATACTTACTAAAGTAAACTAACCCTCTTCCATGTCCTTCAAAACTTCTTTTCGCTTTTTTAGAATCTTTTTCCGAAGTTCGCCCTCACTAAGTTCATCGGAAGTGTGTTCATTAACTGAATTGGGTGTACTTGATGATGGACTACGACGCCGACGCTTTCGCTTGCCTTTTTTCGATTTTCGCGATTTACGTTCAGCAGGAGACTGCGAATCACTCTAAACCCTAGCAAATAGTTACAGTTCTAAAGAAGGAAAAATACTAGAATTTCTATTCATATCAGTTAGATCAACAATTTTTTATTTTTCACATGCCTTACTCATTAATCGCGTTTCAAGTTGCATAGCTGAGTAGTTACACGATTTTAAATTGAAGAGAATTTTGCTAATTTCTCAAAACCATCTTCAAAAAATAGTTTTTTTTTTTAAAATCTTCCAACTAATATTTAAAATAATCTTCGAATATCTCACTGAAAAAATATTTCCAAGCAAAAAAATTTCTAAAAATACTTGCAATATCCTACAACGCAATGCTGCTGTCTGAAGTTTTCATTTGCAATCTTTGAAGTGTTAATTTAATTTTTATATAAAAATTAACTTTACTTCACATTATTCTTTACACTGCATTTTCGACAGATTAATTTTAGAATGAAATAGACACTATGGTTATTTAAGTGTGAATAGATACTATAGTTATTTTGATGTGAAAGGTCATAGTTTAATAAAATCCCAATATTTTAATCTATATCATTCTGTCAAACATAACTGATATATTAGAATAACAAAATAATAACCAACCAAGCTCGATTTCTTTGGTTCTACATCGTCAGATTTTGCATTTGGCGGAGGAGGTAATGGTGGAAGTGGCGGAGTTTCACCTTTTTCAATAGCCTAAAAAATTTTGATGTAGACAGTGTAGAAAAACTAACCAGCTTACATAATATAACTTGACGTAAAGAAAAAATGATAGCATGTACTGTGTTACCCATATTTGTACTTTTGCACAAAATTTGGTTTGAGTAATGAATGCAATACATAGTCGAGAATACAAATTAAAAGTTTAGAGACAATACGAAACTGTGACCTCTCGCTTAAACTGTGGAGATGGAGCTGGTGGGACAGCTGAGGAAGAACGTCTCGGTGCCGAATATGAAGAATTGCGAGATTGAGAACGGTGAGATTTTTCACTATGCCGACTTTTGAGACTACCAGGGCTTGCTGAACGTTCATGTGATGAATGACGCTGACCACGACTTGGTGATCGTGACGAACTAAAAACAATTCAAATTGATTTCCAAGACCTACAACACAGACTGTAAAAAACAGCTTTACTGAAAAAAAGCGGTAAAAAGTGCATTTACTAATGAACAGGTTCAACAAAACGCAATGTGCTGCTGACGTTCAAAAAAAACAAAAAAAAACAAAAAAAAAAAAAAAAATGCAATGAACACCTGGATGAGCGAGACTTTTTAGAGCCTTCATCATCTGATGAAGCGCACTTTTTTCTGCTTCCTTTATCATAATCATCATCATCTCTAAAACAAATGTTTTTCAACTTTACAGCTAAAATTTTGCATAAAATCCATCACTTAATCAAAATAAACTGACTTCATTCTCTCTGCAGAAAATTTAAAGAGAGAGGCAGCAATAAATTAAAAAAGTACCATTACGTGCAACGAAAAATGACCACCAAATAGACGTGCTGCTGGCACGAAAAAATTTAGTTCGCTTTTATATCCTGATTTCGCATATACTTCAGTGAATATTTTGAGACCCTAAGCTTGAAAGTATTGAAAGTAGTGGTATTTATTCACAGCTTATTATGTAAAATCTCTATACCTATAATCATTTCTTGACGAACGATCGTAGCTAGTATGATTGCGACCACTATAACCACGATTACGAAGAATTTTAGCAGGTCGAAGACCTGCAAGAATATTTTTTCAAAAGAATCATAATATTTGCTACAATCGTCATTCGCTGTACAATTCACAATTCAGATACAGAAAAAATCATTTATCTTAATGTTTTAAATAAAAATCTAGCTAACATTGTTGTTATGGAAAGTAAACGTTTATTACCTTGACTTTGTTGATATGACACATAGCGCCGAATATCCCGAAACCACGTCATTTCAACTGGGTAACCAAGAACATCACCATCTTTGTATCTGAAATCCAGTTCAAACAAAAAGTTCAAGCTTTTCTAAAATTTCTAATTTAGTAGCATACGAGAAGTCATTGTTATGTAAAAAGAAAAGTTAAAATATACTTGTGCATGCATTCTTTTGCAGCATCGCGCGTTTCGAAACGAACAGCCACAAATAGTTTCAGTTGATCCTGTGAAAGCTTGATAAAGTCAAATGAGCATGGTCCAACATGGTCTTCGAAAAAATCCCTGAAAAGAATATGGATGGAGAGATAAATACAGTAAGACTGGTATTCAAGCCAATGAAAAGTAAAATATCAAAAAGTTTCAAAAAACTTTGGCAAGACAAAAAATCCTTGCTTCAATTCGTTTTACTTACCTTAATCCAAATCGACAATGTAACAAGAGTAATAACCAAGAGAATAAACTGGTATTTTTGCAAATTCCCTACTCAAAGGTAAGCACATGGTAACTGCGCCAGCACAAAGTGTATTTCTCCACAAACAAAATTCAGCCAAGAGAGTAAGATTCGATGAAAATGTTGCTGTATGTATGACAATAATTCATTCAAATAAACCAGAGATTTCCGCCTTATCGTTCCAAAAAGAAGAGTGGAAGTAACACATACAAGTATTTCAAGATAACACAAAATTTAAATCTCGCCTGTAATAACATCAACAATTTGATCCATTGATTACCTTTTTTTTTTTACCGTAAAACTGCATCTCGAGATAACAGATAACAGAATAAAGCACCAGCAGAAGGTTCGGAAGTAAATGTAGAGTAAAGAAATTACCAGTCTTTTTATACAAGGTATTCTGGTGAATGCACATCTGGTTTAGATAATCAGACACAGGAAGGAAAACAGACTTCTGCCTTTCTTAGCCATTGTTTCTGATCATACTCATACTTTTGTCCCTAGACCATGAGAAGTAAAACAATTTTTTATTCTTTACTTCCCCTTATGTCACTTCGATGAAATTTCTAATAAACATTTAATATTTTTTAAATTTTTGTTATGGATAAAAATTTTAAGGCAACTTACTTCACTTCATCCGTTTTAATATGTCCAGGAAGGCCTCTAATAAATACGGTGTGCTTGCTTTCAGGAACTTCATCTTGATCGATACGATCAAAACGTGGTCCATTCCGATAATAACCATTCATATCTGAAAAAAACACCGAAACGATATAAATGGCAAAAGTGGCCAAACTACGATAAGTCTAATTTCAGAAAAAATGCCAACCGTAAATCAAATAACATTTAAAAACTTGAAAAAAACAATGACCTGAAAATTGCGAACGGTATGAAGGATTAGTGATAAAATGGGTGAAACTGATACAGTTAACTGCCGCCGATACAGCACGTAAACAATACGCACTCTTTACAAATCAAATTCCTGAAAATTTTGGAATCTGCGGTTACTATACTGTAACCGATAAAGTTCTAAAAACGTTAACCAGACATAATTTTGATAAAAAAGATAAAATACTAGTTTAGGACTGGAAAACTTCTGAAATGTTATTTTGAAGTCCTTAAGAAAAAGTGCAACATTTTACTGCCAAAAATTTTCACTAAAAATCCTCAGGGCGAAAAATCGTCAGTTTAAATTTAAAGGAAACAGGAGTAAAAAGAGGGCAAATCACAGGAAAAAGTTCAGTAGCAACACTTCGCAAACAAATTTTTTACAGCCAATAATATAAAAACAGAGAGAGGCGCAATGCGCAATTAATCTGGTTTGCAAATCGTAAATTGTACGTAACTTCAAATAAGTCTTCTAATGTAGTCACACGATGTATCGTACTTTTTAGACATTGATTCTCAGAAACTCAATTTACAGAAGTTAACACCCGGAATATCTGCTTCTTCGAAAGATGATGTTTGCAGTACAACGAGCTATAACCCAAGGAATTGTCAAGCCATCAATAGGAGCCATACCTATCGATAAACATAATCTCTAATCGCCAGCATGCAATGTTATTGCATGATCATCGGTTCGTCTTATAGACAAAGATAATTTGCCACAAAAAAAGGATAATCACTAAAATTAATGTTGCTCAAATTTGCAATAATTCATTGAAATTTAAATACATCCCGATTTTCTCACATAAGCAAGGGCTCCGTACATTACTGAAAAAGTAAGTAGTTAGCAACGACAAAACAAGTAAAAACAAAATAATCAAGTCCCTGACACCCAACCATAACGTCATTCCACAGTGATAATAATGCTCATTCAATACAGAGTTGCTGATGATGGCTGAATGATTTGTAGATAATGACTTAGGATATTTAAGATAGAAACCCAATTCAAAATTCATACAGTAAAAGAGTTAAAACATATTTATTCATACTGCAATGAATAACAAACAATATGACCGAATATTTCTTTGAAACGAAATGTAAATAATTAGGAAAATTACCCAGCTATATTATGAATACACATATAATACAAAAGTATAAAAATTTTTCACGCCAAGAAAACGAAGCGATTTAGAGAAACGAAAAATGAACAAAGATAACGATCTATTAGGGCACGCAACAGCAACAGATTTTTGCCGTACAATGAAGTGGTAAAAAAACATTAGCACCAATGAAATCCTAACAATATTTGCTGTCTTAATAATATTATAGATAAGGAAGGCTAATAAGCATCAGCAAATAATCTATGCTCAGTTTTTTTTTTTTTGTCAGCAAAATTTAATGTGGCAGTAAACTGTCAAACATCGATCATCCAGAAAGAACAAGGAACCCGAATACGTAATGATCAAAAAAAGATTAAAATGTAATATTGACAATACGAATGATCTGGAAATAATTCATGAAGCGATCTACTATAAAATTGTATTCACTAAGACAAAAACCAGATAAAATAATGAACTGTAATCACCGCAACTATAACCAAAAAAAAGCCAATATAGTAACATCGAAGCTGTTACAACGTCTCATGTGATGATTTAAAAAAAGATGAAATTCACTGTTTCAGAAAGCTAATTTAGCAGCTTTCAAGAACTTCATTTCGATAATTAGTTGGTCACTGCTTAGAAATATATATCATTTTTTCCAATTTGCTGCAAACCTCTGGCTTCCACAAGTCAGCCTAGAAATAACTATTTTCTGCGCCTTACATTGAGCATTCTTAGCGTTTTTATCATCAATGCTCCTTTTTTCGGTATCATTTTCTTCTTTTCTGAGTGCGAATCTAACGAAGAACTGGTGTTTCTAATTGCTTGTGGTAGATTTGTCAAGGCTTCTTTGTTTCCTGCAATATGTTATATAAAAGGTATATTACAAGCTAATTAATAGTGCTTTCTCAACTGAGATGTTTTCATTTAATCACAATACTAAAAATCTATTCTTGAAATGAAAACAAAAGAGTAGTCGAGAATCCCAGGAAACAGAGTAACTAGATTGATATGCGATCACAACGGTTTGGTTTAAGGTGGATTCAGCATAAAAAACTACAAACGGTGTATAAAATCTACACGATAATAATAAAAATGTAATGTTCAGTTTCAAGCTACAAATATTATAATACGCGGTAATAAACTGGAAAATCTGGAATACCCTTATTTAAAACGTCCTTCCTAAGCAATCTCTTACAACCGAACAACAAACTGCAAAAAAATTTTCAGAACCTATCCTTAAACGGATGCAAGCGAATCCGAATATAACAAATAAAATATAAGTATAAAAAGGCATGGCAGAGAGTAACCTTTATCAAAAATTTCCTTGCGTGCTTTTGAAATCTCATTAGCAGATGGTAACGGATGGCTAGCATGCTGAGTGCCATAGCGTATTTGCCGACGACGGACATCACGTGGGGCCTTTGCATCCGCAAGCAGCGCAGTTTTCACCGGTGCAGTTGCTTCTCGATTATGCTGAGTTATTTTTGTTGAAAGCAACTTCAGTTTACGTTCATTTTCTTCACATAAGCGCTACAATGCAATAGTGTTAGTAGTTGAAAATTTCTTACACATTAACTCAACACGATTTGCATGAACCGTTCCATATTTTTAGAACAACATCTGCATCCTCATTTAATCAAATATGCTACGGAACAAAATAAAATAAAAACTAACATAATAACATTCTCGCCATGTTTCGTCATCTGTTGTTTCACATTTTGGAAAAGCACGATTTACAATCCGCTCCCACAATTCATCACTATCTTCCATTAGTTGCTGTAGAAAGAAGTACTAATCATTTTATTTCAATTTTATTTCTATGAACTAAAAAAATTATTTATCACTACTGTTTCTCATGCAAGTTATCCAGCTAAAATTTATACTTCATTACAATTTGTTTCATTATGATTACCGGATTTCGCCTTTCAATCAAACATAACTGATTCAAGGAACATTTCTCAAGCACTGGTTTCAGCAGAAAATATGGCGTGTCGCCAACTTCTTCAATTGCTGAAAAAATGATTATGTGGAATGACTACCAATGGCAGTCGGAAATAGAATTTTTAATTCATTTCAACTATTTGATAAAATTGACCAATACCAATACGTCAGCTACAATTTACAAAATTATAAAATTCTTTGGTACAAAAAAAAGAAGTAAATACGAAAAAAAAAAATGCATTTACTTACAAATGTGCATGCAAAAAAAAAAAACTGTTAGAATAAAGAGCAGAACGAAAGTTTTCGTAAAAATGTATTAGTTTGAAATATTTCAAAACATTTTAGGTAAGGGTGCAATTTTAATAGCTGGTATTCCAGTTTCCTGAACCTACAAAACCAATACCAAGCATTCAATTCATGCTGAACAAGTAGCATTTCAAACCCATCACACGACTTTGAAATGTGAAAAACAACTCACAATTAATGTTAGCAATTAATATTTTAATACATAAATTCTGCAACGTTGGCACCACCTTAGCAGTATCATTTCTCAGGCGTCCCGCATAGATTTTACACACTGATTTACGTGGTTTAAACATTAACGCATCCATCACAGATGTCTTGGACATGTCTGAAAAAGTGTTTCAATATTTTGAAAAAAAAAAAAAAGAAATGAAAAATAATTAAATCCATTTAAAAAGCAGCCATTTTTGAAAAACATCTAAAATTAGTGGTTTACATAGAATTCACATCTTTCTATGCAATTCCTTAACAAAAGTTGTCACAGTATTATGCACCTTCTTATCCTCATCCCGCCTAAACAATTGACATGAAACATAATAGTAATTCGTACCGAATCCCAATAATATTAAATGTATAATCATTAACTAATTGAAGCCACCAAACACCATACCAGAATTGTGTTTTTTCAGCACGGGTTCAAAATTTAATATTTTGGATGGTTTATAGTTCACATCCACTTTCGATGACTTCCAATCATTACAATCAGTTCTCACTTTCTTGAGTTTAGGAGGTCTAACGATATCAGCCCGAGCTAACATGTCTGCAAAGCTCAAACCTGAGCAAGCATTTTTTAGTCCATTACTTGATGGCTGAAACAGAAGTGTATGATTTTGATATAAAAACGTTATATAACTAAATTTCCATTCGAGAAAAAAAATTCCATATTATCCATTCGATGTCGATGTATAGCAAGATTTACTAGAATCTTGCAACTTACTCAGAATGAACACTGAGCCCGGGAGAAACCCAAGAGCTATAAACTGTAATTCAAGTGGTTTAGTAAATAAGAAAAAATAAAAAAAAAAAAATCTTTCGTAATCAGCGAATATAACTTACCCTAATTTTATTACAGTGAACTTCATCAGCACAATCATCTGGTTCTTGCTCACCCTTGTTTTCTTTTTCCTTCCTCCGATTTCTTTTCTTTGACTTTTTTGGAGGATTTTCTCCTTCTGAACACGGTGAAAGAAATCGTTTCCTAAAATTTATATTTGCTAGATTACTCAAACCTTGCTCATCAGATGTTCTTATATTTACTCAAACTAATCTCTCCTTTTAAGTATTCTTTCTGGAAAACACATTAGAAATTACAAACTTTCGTTGTTTCAAGCCACAACTCCGTGCTATATCTTTCCATTTTTCAACGATTTGCAATGCTTTCGTGCCATACTGCTCGTGACTTCTCAATTGATTTACTGCTTTTCCCACTCCTGTCTCCGATAATAGCTCCAATGTCATATTAATGTTTGCTAAGCGTCTCAAAGCATGGCCAATCTGTAATGTGCTTGTCATCCCTG